TGTATTTAAATTGAAAGGTAGGTTTCCTTTATATTTTACTGTGTCAAACATATTCATGGACAATTTAAAACTGATTTAAAACTCCGAAACATTCACTTTAAACAAAGGATAGTGCAAAGTTGATATGACAACTGACCAGAAAGCACTAAGGGGTGTGCACACTATAAGGGGCCCATAAAGCAATGCCTGGCCCACATCGACCCTTTATGGTGCATGGTCTGTATTATTATTATGGTCTGTATTATTATTATAGTCTGTATATACTACAGAATTTTTAATTGATTACTTTAGTATGCTGTTTACATTTCCAGAAATATAATTTTACCACACATACTAACGGAACATATTGACAAATAGCATACAGTCAGTATAAACTTTAGTGTTGACTGCAGAAAATGTATAAAATGCAGAATACATGTACAAGTTCCTTACTGAAATTGCAGACTTGGCATATAATATGCAGACTTTAAAAAACTCATTAATAATTCATGAGGAAAATACAAAAGAAATGAATGTTTAATCAATGTTTGTAAATCGGATAAAGATTTGTCCTGATTTACATAAACTTCAGCTTTGATTTTCTCGGCTTTAAATTTCTTCGGCGATGAATTTAAAATATGATTCGCAGCCGATCTTTATCAGATAAAGATCGGCTGCTCATGTTTTAAACAAGTACATATTGAATAAACATGACTATATCGATCGTTAGAAAATATAATGCATGAGCCTTCAATTTCCTTAATTTAAAATCAATCGCCCAATTTAGAACAAATCACAATCACTAAAATATTTGTGTTGCGGGATTGAAATGTATAAGCTTTGTAGCGCTATTTATAGAACTATAACATTGAACTACATTGTTTAGTGACGTTTACTACATTGACATATTGACACAGTGTGACCAGACGTGGTAATTTCATTACTACCGTGGTAATTTTTCGTCATTTTTGGGCAATTGTGGTAATTGGAAATTTGTGGTAATTACTACGGTAATTTCAGAACAACCGTGGTAATTTTTCGTCAAATTTCGGCCGATTGTGGTAATTTGAAATTTCCTGACCTTAAATGTACAGATTTTGGTGAAAAACCCCTAAATGTTACAAATTTTGTGAAAAAAAACTGGTTTTGGCCTTGTTTTAGGCGAAATAAACCGGTTTTGGCCTTGTTTTAATTATAATTTTTCCGGAAAAATTTTTTTCACCCTAATTTACGAGGAACTTGTCCGGAAAAATTTTTGTCCGGAAAAATTTTTTTCGACCTCCCCGTTAATTGCACTAATTGGGACGAACGCTGACAGAAATCAATCGAATAACGCGAACTTCGGCTGTCGCATCCTCGCCAAATTACGTTACATCGGAAGAGCGATAATTTTTACATAATATACTTTTCTTTAACAGAATTGAACAATAATCTTCCTGCAGAAAATGCCAATTGAAACTTACAAATGTCTAATCTTCCGCGGTTCGGCACCGATCTGAATTCATGGCCTTCAAATTCGAATTACACGCTGCATTGTCATTGGTCGGCTTTCAAAACAACAACAAGACATTTCCGGTAAGAGAGCGAACGTTTGGGGAGTTTAGCGAATCACGGTCTATTAACCGTGAGCGAATGGCCTCTGCGAATGGTGGGAGTTAGGTAACATCGAGTTGGATTCGAGATGTGTATAAATTCTTAGTAATTTATAGTAAAGTCTTTATTTTAATAGGTTTTATCAGGTTGAAAGTCATTTCCAACGCATATAAAATCGAATATGTCGTTGTTTATATAATCACAGCTTGTTGTACAAGGGTCATTTGGGTTAATATTGAAATGGTATGGTGTAACAGGTCACTTGCTTGATTGGTTCACTGATTATCTTAGGAACCGATCTCAAAGGGTTGTGATTGACGGCATAGCTTCTCAGTACCTACCAGTTACTTCTGGCGTGCCCCAAGGGAGCATCGTTGGTCCTCTGGTATTTGTCATTTTTATCAATGACCTACCTGAATTTATTCCGAATCAGTCAAAAACCGCTCTCTTCGCAGATGATACCAAGTTATACAGATCGACTTCATCCATAAGCGACTGCGAAAGCCTGCAGCGTGACATTTCTAGTTTAAATGATTGGAGTCAGAATTCAAACATGAAATTTAACGCTTTAAAATGTAAAGTTCTCACAATCACACGTAAAAAATCACCTGTAACAACGGATTATCATTTGGGCGACGCAAATCTACAACGAGTTCATCAAGAAAAAGACCTCGGTATAATGATAACTGCCAACTTATCCTGGGACGCTCATATATTTTCAGTTGTCAACAAAGCTAACAAGATGCTTGGTCTCTTGAAAAGGTCATGTTCCCTTACAGAACACAGCAAAATAAGGCAAACCCTATATCACGCATTTGTTAAGTCGCAACTGTGCTATGCAACGGAGGTATGGTCACCAGCTACTGCTAAGTTACAGATGACATTAGAAAGGGTTCAGAGGCGTGCAACACGCTGGATCCTGAAAACGAATGTCGGAGAGATGCCTTATGAAGATAGGCTGACAACCCTAAACCAACTACCACTAGTTTATGATCGAGACCTTAGAGACCTTGTTTTGGTTTATAAATCTATTTTCGGTTGTATTGACTTGAACATTGAACAGTTTGTATCTTTTGTGCAACATAGTTGTTCTCGCTCTCAAAATCCATCCCTAGTTTTGAAACCTTCGTACTGTAAAACATCAACTTTCCAGGCTTCGTTCTTCAACCGAGTAGTTAAGCCTTGGAACTTTGTTTAAAATAGCCTCCACAGATAAATTTGCCAGCCTAAAACGCTTCCTGCATGCGACATACTCCAACCTGGTCAAGGATACTTTTAATGTGGATATGCCATGCACTTGGTCACTCACAGGCGACTGCTCCTGCCATCGTTCCTAAACTGCATTGTGTATATATTTACTGTAAATAGATCTTTTTTCTTTCTTTTTCTTTTTGTTATCTAGTCAGTTAGGGGTTGTGCCTTGCATGGGTATTGTTTTCCCGTTTGCACTAATCCCATTGGACGTTCACCTTGTAATCTAAAATTTCTATGTCCAATAATTAAAGCTTATAAAATAAAAAATATTAGCGCACGGGGTCTGTTTGATCAAACCACAGTTCATAGATATTAACTGTGATCAAACATTATATTAGAAAAATAGTATTTAATGATATAGCGCGCGACGATCGTTCGATGGGAAAATGAAAACCACGTTAGTCTATATCGAAGGAATGTCACATTTAAACGCACGAGACTGTTGCAATATATATAGAATCGAGCAGAGAATCGAGTATGTCGTTGCCGCATGGCCCGCATAATGTTTGTACGTCA